GGGCAGTGGGAATTTCTCCAGTATTTTGGAAAACACTCAACTTGGCCAGGAGGGTGGTAGAGACCTTTACAGGCCCACTGTGTTTGTTCTCTCCCTGACTATGGGGCAGAGGCCATACTGTATTCATTTTCCAACAGAACAAGTTTACAATAGGACTATTAGCCTCAGTTAAAGTTCTCCCAATCAGCGGAGGCCAGGTTACAGCTGGTCCAATTCACAGTTAGTCCAAAATCTACAATTACAGGGGTGTGTAAGAGAGGCAACAAAAGTAAGCAACTTCATACTAGTCCACTAATTCTTTATGACAACTGCTACAACTGGAAAAAAAGAATCTGTCCATGTTCTGTGTCTACAAGGCAGAGAAGCTGGCACCTTCACAAAGAGCTCCATCAAAGTTCAAGCTGAAAACAAACTTGTCAAACTTGTTCACAGTTTCTAAACAGCGAGACAGGCTTCTGTGGTCATACATAGACTTCCATCAAATGAGAGCAAGCCCACAAAACAAAATCATTTTCATCTCTGTGTGCCTGTGTGTGAGCAGTGATTCCAGCACTCATAAATCAACAACGAAAGTCTCCAAGGCAACTGTGAGAAACAAGCGTAATGCACAGGTTAAGGGAAAATTCCTGTGTTTTTCTCCGAAAGCCATGTTTACCTAGTGCTTGAAACAGATTTTTTATGTGTTTATAGTAAGATGCCACAAAAAAATTACAATAATCTTCCAAGCTGCAATCAGTGACAAGTTTAAATGGTCTTTAACCACTTAAAAGCAGTTCAACAATGTCACGCCCTTGTGAAATACCAATGAATATTTTAATGTTCTCTACTGTGCAAAAGTCATAAATCACTTTCCATTTATTTAATTTCCAGTCAAAAAGCCATTAAGTACAAATTATTCATTTTTCAGCAACAGAAAAAAGAACAAAACATATTTAACACAACATTACTTGATTTTTTATCAGTATTTAGTGCATCCACACTTTATTATAACCTTCATTCTTTTCAGGAGACTTCTGCAGGGATATTTTTCCATACCCCCAAAGTTCAGTCTTAGAAGTTGGTTGCATTTTCTGCTTCTCACAATTGAAGTAATCCCAAACACATTCAATGATGTTGAGGTCTGGACTCTGGGGTGACCAGTCTATTGTCCTGAGAACACCAGCAGCTTCTTTGTTTGATTGGGAAATGTTCTTCTTATTTGTCTCAGCATCAGCTTCTTGAGAGCTGTACATCCTTTCAGACCCATGGTGTTGAGTTGTCTTCTCCCAGTGAAAGGATGAACAGAAACACCTGTGGATTTTTTCAGACCTGAACAAGGAGTGGCACTTGAGTTTCTCTTTTCTCTCAAAAATGAAAGCTTTAAGTACCATTGTGTGTTTCACAACAAAGAAACAAACAAAAAACAAATACAACATAACACACATTGTACTTTTACACATTTTTTCCCACCATTCCTTAACTCCACCATACCATTAACCATACTAATCAATAGGCCACACACAAGGAGACCATGGAAATAAAGTGCAGATTTGATTAAGTGTTGTGGGCATGGAAGAAAAGCAGCGTGGGCCTTTCAAAATACATACCTCATAATATTCCCACAGTAAGGTCTGTTTCCCTGCTCAACGGATAGTAAACACAACTTACTTTACATTCCCTAAAGACTTTAATCACTGACATACGCCTAGCCTACCTCACACACACAATGGTTCATGTACCCATTTTTTATCCACAAGCAATCTTTTATGCCATAGGCCTATCTCTTAGGTAGACCAGGGGTTCTCAACTTTAGTACTGGTGAGAAAGTACTGTCTCAACACATCTAATCCAGCTTATGAAGGACTTGATGATAAACTTATGAGTTGGATCAAGTCTGCTGGACTGGGGAATGCTTGAACTTGTCCTGGCTAGTTGATCTCCAGGAATGGAGCTGAGAAACCCTGGAGAAGATTATGTGTTAGTATCTTCCACAGTGTTTCCCAAATGTCCTGGAGGCCCAGCTGCTTTTCAGAGGTTCATGTTTTCCTCATCTGACATGACTGATCGAGCAAGAAAGGCTTGATAATTACCTTATGAGCTGCATCAGGTCTTTTGGAGCAGGGAATGCATTTTTTTCAAATTAAGGTCATGGCGTAGTCCTACCATTCCAGGAAAAAAAATATATTTTAATTAGTAAGGAATCTTTATATTACTGTGCTGTGCAAAAATTAGAGACATTTATTTAATTTCCAGTCAAAATGGCAATTGAGTACAAGTTATTCATTTTTCAGTGTCAGAAAAAGAGCAGGAATATAGTTCACTGAAAATTATACAAATATCTCCAACATTAAGTATAATATCAAATCTACACACACACACACACACACACACACACACACACACATGATCTAGGCTGCTTATCCTTCTGGGTCGTGGGGGGGCTGGAGCCCATCCCAGCAGTCTGGGAAGAAAGCAGGAAACACCCTGGGCAGGTCACCAGTCCTTCACAGTGCAGACACACAGATACATACACTCATACCTAGAGGCAATTTAGCATCTCCAATAGGCCTGGCTGCATGTCTTTGGACTGTGGGAGGGAACCAGAGCACCCGTAGGAAACCCACGAAGAGAGAACATGCAAACTCCACAAAAAAGGACCCTAGTTGCCCAGACGGGGAATCAAACCCAGGCTCTTCTTGCTGTATAACTCTTCTATCCTTCCTTAAGACAACCAAGTTACACCTGCATCCTCCCAACAAAGGATGTTACCAAAAAAGCTATTCACAATATTCCCCTTCAAAGAGACTACCCAAACGCACCATAGCTGCTCCGCAAACTTCTTTCTCAAGGGAATCTAAAATGGCTAAAGGAGATACACTACATGTTCAAAAGTACTTAGACACTCCTAATTAGTGAATTCATCTACTTTAAGGCAGTGTTTCCCAATCCTGGCCGGGAAAGCACCCATCCCTGCACCTTTTAGTGTTGTTCCTGCTCCCAACACTCCTGATCCAACAAATCAGAATTAACAGCTCATTATTGAGTTAAAGTGGCTGAGTTAAAGCAGGTAAAGCACTAAAATGTGCAGGACAGTGGGTCTCCTGGACCAGGACGGAGAAACACTGCTTTAAGGTGCACACATTGCTGACACAGGTGTTCAAAAACTGGACATCTGAGATGTGTACATACATCTTGTTTAATCTCCATAGATAGGCACGGCCAACAGAATGGTAAGCTCTGGAGCAGCTGCACATGAGCCTAAGATCACCATGCCCAAGGCAAAGCATCAGAGGGGTCTAAAGCCCCCCAGCATTGGGCTGTGGAGCTATGGAACTTGTTCTCTGGAGTGATGGAGCTCCATATAATACCTTTGGGATGAGTTGGGGTGGCGTTTGTGATCCAGAATTAATCATCCAACATCAGTACCTGACCCTCACTAATGCTCTTGTGGCTGAAGGCAGTCAAATCCTCACAGCAATGTTCCAACATCTAATGTAGAGCCTTCCCAGAAGAGTAGAGGCTGTTTCTGCTGCAAAGGGGGAACAAACTCTCCATTAATAGCCTTGATTTCGGAAGAAACGTTGGATAAGCACTTTTGGACATATAGGGTAGATATAAAATAATCCACCTGCATAAGTAAGAGAGTTTCCAAAACTAGAGTTCAAAAAAATAATTCAGAAGATACAGAAAAAATAAAACTCTCCACTGTCAAGACCTGGTAGACCACCAAAACTGTCATCATCAGATAAACAGCACTTAAAGCGGTCATCTTTGAGAGGTAGGAGAAAATCAAGCTCCACTCTTGCTTCAAATCTGAATAAATCCACAGGTGTTTCTGTCCATCCTTCCACTGTGAGAAAGGATGGTTAGCTGTCAAGAAGCCTTTACCGAGAAAAGTAAATAGACAAAAAAGAAAATTTGCACTAGAACATCAAAACTGGACATCCCACATGTAAAGTCAAGTTTTATGGACTGATGAGTTTAAATATGTAAGTGGGACTACTTGGCGACCTGTCCAGGGTGTTTCCTGCCTTCTGCCCAATGAGTGCTGGGATAGGCTCCAGCACCCCCCCATGACCCAGGAGGATAAGCAGCTTAGAAAATGTGTGTGTGCGGAACGTGGGGAGCAGCAAATGCAACCAACTTCTAAGACTGAACTTTGAAAATGTGGAAAAAATATCCATGAAGATTTCTTCGCAAAACTGAAAGCAAGTCTAAAAAAAAAATGGAAACTGTAATAAAGGCAAAGAGTGGGCACACTAATGGTGAAAATATGATATTTTGTGAAGTCTAATAAGTTTTCTGTTAAATATGTTTGTTGCTTTCTTCCTGATACCACAAAATGAATAACTTGTACTTAATGGCTGTTGTGAGTGGAAATTAAATAAATGACTGTGTGCGTTAAACAGGTTCCTCACACTCTCACATCTCATTTACAAAAATGGTTCTTCAAAGAACCACCGATTAAAGTTCTTTAGGTAATAGCAGTTCTGTTATAGCATTGCTCCAAAGAACTCTTTTTGGCACTATAATTTGAAGAGTATATTTGATCCTTTTGAATCTGAATTCTGTTGGATTCCTAGGAATGGAGCTGCCTACCCTGGAGTGGTTCTGTATTCCACCTTAACTGGTTTGTGTTTTTTCCTTCTCTATATCACCTGATGCAACTCGAGCAGGACTTGGTCACGATCTGAAAAAGCAGGGAAAACTCGAGTGAGCAGAGCAGCTGGGCCTCCAGAACTGGAAAGAAAACAAACACTGGAGAAAACTGATCTGCCAAACAAACGCAGTAGGAAAAACAAGGCCGATGTACAGCGCGCACGTTTCACTTTCCACTTTTTCCCCCTTTCCCCAACATTGTTTTCCACGTGTGTGCGTGCGTACGTGTGTGTGTTCACCCAGAGTCCAAAGCTAACAGCACAGCGTGCTTGTTTGACCAGCCTGCTGTTGCATACGCGCTGCCTGGAAGTGCTGATGTCAGAGGAACATGGCAGCAGATAGGACCCAGCAGAGCGCGTCCCCTCGCCTCGCCTCGCCTCACCTGTGGCCGGCCGGTCTGCACTTTCCTACCTGCAGCTGGCCCCTTCACACCGCTCTGAACTCGAAACTCGCGCTCCTTCCTCTCCTGAACGGCCAAAGGCGATGTGGTGCTCGCGCTCGCTCTCGTCGTGCACGCTGCCGCCGCTGCTGCGGTCGTTGCCGCTCCTGCTCGCGCTGCTGCTGCGCGCCTCGCGCGGGGAGCTCGTGTTCCGCTGCCCGAGCTGCACGGCCGAGCGCCAGGCCGCGTGCCCCAGCCCGCCGGCCGCGTGCGTCGAGATCGTGCGCGAGCCCGGCTGCGGCTGCTGCCCCGTGTGCGCGCGCCTGCTGGGCGAGCCGTGCGGCGTGTACACCCCGCGCTGCGCCAGCGGACTGCGCTGCAACCCCACCCCCGGGGAGCCGTACCCGCTCGAGCAGCTCATCCGGGGTCTCGGGCGCTGCGAGAGGAGAGTGGAGCCCACGGTCAGCCACGACTTACTGGACATTTCCACGGAGGACGGTGAGTGAGGGAGGGCAGCCGAACACTGTAGGTGCTCATCCAACACTGGTAGTTGTAGAGAAAGTTTGCAAGTCCTGAGCAAAGTATGTGCAGTTATGCTTAAAGTGTGTAGAGTATAAGGTGAGTAGGCATGTGGAAGTGCACAGTTTATATAACCATGCCTGAAGAGTGTAGTTATAAAAAAAAATATATGTATTTACAGCATGTGTGAAGTTACATACATGAGGTGTGTATAGTTATGCATACAAGACTGTACAAAAGTCAGAGACCACCCTTCATTTATTTATCTCCAGTCACAATGACCATCAAGTACAAGTTATTCATTTTTCAGTCAGGAATAAAGCAGAAAACCTACTGAACAGAAAAGTCCACTGTAGCCTCAACAGCTGAATATATACATTTTTTTCAGTATTTAGTGTGTCCACTCTTTGCCTTTATTCCATTCTTTTTAGGAGACTTGCTTTCATTTTTTTCAAAGAAATCTGCAGGGATGTTTTTCCACATCTCCAAACTTCAGTCTTTGAAGTTGGTTGTATTTCTGCTTCTCACAATCCAAATAATCCCAAACACATTCAGTGATGTTGAGGTCTGGACTCTTGGGTGGTCAGTCCTTTATTCTGAGAACACCAGCAGCTTCTTTCTTTGATTTGCACATGATCTTTTCTACTTTTCTCATTAATGGCTTCTTGACAGCTACACATCCTTTCCAACTCATAGTGCTGAGTTGTGTTCTCACAAAGAAAGGATGGACAGAACCACCTGTGGATTTTTCAGATCTCAAGCAAGAGTGGAGCTTGATTTTCTGCTCTCTGTCAAAGATGAAAGCACTGTGTATCTGATAGTGACAGGTTTAGTGGTCTACCAGGTCTTGCATGGCTGTTAAGAGTCCCATTTTCACTGTTTTTAAAGATTTTCTTGAACTCTAGTTTCAGAAACTCCTGATTTTCGCTTGTTTCCTTCCTAATGCAAGTGGATTATCTTCTGTATACTCGTTAGAAACATTGCCTGAAAATGTATAAAGTGTACTTAATGGCCAATGTGACTGGTGGTCACTAACTTGTACACAGTATTGTAGTTATATCTATGAAGTTATGCAGAGTTATGAAGAGTCCACTTGCTAAAGTCTTTTTATGGTCAGTGTGCGTGTGCCTATGGGAAGCTAATGTGCTTGTCATCATGGATTTTGATGAACGTGATGGTTGATGGTCTTTGTGCTGCTGCTTCACTGGAGGCTTCTTGAAAGGTGTTTTATAGTATTAAACTACTGTGCCTGATCAGCCATTGGTGAGTTTTATCCACAAAGTAAGCATATCACCTGTTGGGCTGTCAACAGTGTGACTTTCTGCCCATTTCTTTGACAGTTTCTTTGACAGTTTGCTGCCTGATTTACCCACGTACTCTCACACACCACCAGTTTCACCTCTTAATCCCTTTTTATCAAATTAATATTTAGGCATAGTAAAATAATTACCTGTTAAAATCACAGTAATACCAGTGTTTGCACAATGTGGGTACTGTATGTTACGAACGAGAAAAGTCTAGCCACCGACTGTGCCTTCTAGTATGCTGTTGCAATACTGCCTGGCTGACAGATTTTATAGTCTTATAGTGTATAATATTATATGTTGAGTATCTCTTTTCTTTTGTGTTAGTAATTACGTAAATAAGCTCCTTTTAGTTCTAAATGAACATTTATTGAAAGCAGGTTAACTTTAATCTTCTCAGCACGATGAGCAGTCAGCTTCCATTATTTTGCTTTGCCGTGCAAGCTGAATGTGCGATCTAAGTTCTTAGTGAGAAAGTCTTTTTTTTTTTTTGGTAATCGCAACGACTGAACTTTGCCAGAGGCATTTGCTTTGAAACAAATTGGCTGCCATTATCATAATGCGCTGCTGATTTTCCAAAAAAATCAAAGGGGGGAAAGGCTAATGTAGTTTGGCAACGATTAGCACAGTGGACTTTGAGCTCGGTCCAGCCTCTCATGTGAATCTGCCCGCTTGCAGTGGCTGTGATGTGTCTGCACGAAACTGCATATTTTGGGATGCCCAAGAACTCTAGAAACTGGAGCTGGCAAACCTGCAGGGGTAAATAATCTGGCTCCATCAGACCCAGTGACTCAGATCTGCTGCGTAGAAAAGCTGTTGCAAGGTCAAACAGCAAAACAGAGCCTGCTATGTAAATTGCAGATTAGATAAAGTAGGAAAAAATATGCTGAAGAGCAGGTTAGTGAGCTGAGGCCTCTTCATTAAGTTTGGTTCAATAAAATGAATCATACAAAGTTACTACTGCATACAGTGTTACTGCAGCAGTGCACTTACATTAGCAGAATTATTTGTTTCTGGAAGAATGATGAGCTCCATTCTTACTTAAAGAAATAATTCACTGAACAACAATGTTCTCTTTACCCTAAACACAGTTAATTGGCCCAGACATGTTTGAGTTACATTGCAGCAAACTGAATGTGAGTTGTTTGCAATTTTATCTATTGGGTTGAGACAAATAAATGTAAATAAAAGAAAGCAAAAAAAGTATTTATGGAGACATATCCTGGGTCTAAGTTCTGACATCTGGCATGACATGTTTGAAGGGCAGCGGTAAATAATGTTTGTTTATATGAGCTCAAGCTGTGTCAAAGTCAAAGTCAACTTTCTGTCATCAGCTGGGAGATACTAAGAACACTGCATTAAAAAATAAACTATTGAGAGCACTCAAAATTACAAGGCAGCATGATGCACCAAGAATTTTGAGTTTTCTCAACAGCAGATTTTGTAACCCCTTAAATGGCCAGGCCTTAGGCCCGTTCTTATTTCTTATTTTCACCCCTACCCCTTGTTTTCAAAGGTCACCTCGAGTTACAAGGTGTAGTGGCTGAAATCTTCCTCTGCAAAATGGGACCACCCTCAAAAAAAAAATAAACATTACTTCATTAACCCCTTAACAGTCAAAGCTTATTTCATACAAAGGCTTATTATTCAGTAACAACAGGGACTTCAATGCAAACTATTGTATCTATTCTTAGGTTATAGAAGTGTGTAATAAAACCTTGGGCCCGCTGGCAAACCCATAGCTTGTTAAGGGGTTAACAGGCTACTAGCGGTGCTCTGTAGGCAACCCTGCCAGTCTGCAGTGATAGCAGAGGAGGTTAAAGTTCAGAAACCTCGCTGCTGGGCTTTAGTTACATTTAGGGCATCATATGCTTTCAAAGGGTGGGATGCAACAATTATTTATTATCTCCACCCCTAATTCTTCAGTGATATGAAGCTGAAGTCAGATTCCAGTTTGAGTTTTCCTGTGCCACCTTAAATGGTGCAGCAGTTCCGATGTCTGAGGAGCCAGGATGTAACTGCTGCACCATTTAAGGTGGAACAGGAAAGTTAGCTAGCTAGCTACTGAGACATTAGCTTTCTGCTACTGATTTTTTATGCTTATAATAAAAAAAAGGACCATAATACGTTGAAATGACATAAAACTAACATAGTACAATGGTTATCTTAATTTTTTAACAGAGAAAATGTTCACATTTGTGAGTTTCTTTGGTCGCTTGCACAGCCATTTTGCTGGATGTGCTTTTCATAACACTCTGTTTGGAGTGTGCCTCTGAAAAACCTCCGCTTGGAGGGCCATGTAGCCCTAACACTTCGCCCTACCCCTCTATCTCAACAAAAGTTGGCACACCCTACCCCTAGGCTTGAATGCGCAAAACAGAGGGCTAAGGGCTGAGTGGTAGGGGCAGGGAGTGAAATGGAATTGGGCCTTACAGGCTAATCATATTAGTGAGGTAACTAGAAGTCATTAGAAGTCTTATTCAATGACTTTTGGTTCTGTCCATAGCAGACAATAGAAACCTCAGCTTGCTGTGTGGTGCAGCTGTGTTACCCACTACACCATTACAGTTGTTAGCTAAAGACAATAATTTATCTATTAAATACTTGTTGAGACAAAATGTGTGTGACAATAAAAACATCACCATCTGGTCTTTTGTTTGCAGTTTGTATAGCACAGCAAGTAACACCTCTGCCCTCCAGCAGGCTGGGGTTTGATTCCGTGTCCAGGCAAGCACATCATGCTGCACCAGTAAGCATCCCTAAAAAGACTCCTAATGCTACATAAGCTTACCTCTTTAACATGATTAGACTGGAAGCCACGCTGGATGAGAGTGTCTGCCAAATGCTGAGGCTGTGTTTATTCCTGAAAATTGTATTGCCAACATAACGTTGGACAAACAAACAAATCCATTTAGATTAAACAAATGAACATTAGTAAGGATGACTACAAAAGCAGCTGTTGGGAAGGCTGAAAAAACTTCATGCATCATGTTGCCTTAAAATTTTGAGCTCTCCCAACAGTTTTTTTATGGTTTATGGTTTTAACTAGGAGCAAGACAGGTAGTCGGTACATTTTACATGTATTTCAGTGGTGGAATACAGTGAACTATTGAATCATCCAGTGATCCAGTGAATCATCAGCTAAAGTGTCATGATTGTGACAGGCCTCATTATATTAGATTCATTGCTCCAAAGTAAAAATAAAAGAAGTAAACTTTGGACACCAAACATGCCTTGGCTGATTGACTACATTTAAGGTAATAGGAACAATGTGTAAAAAATGATTTTTCAAATGAACCCTTAAGCTGCCAGTTTTTAACAGTATCAGTGTTTTTCTGTCTTAGTGTGTCCAGTCAAAGGCTGACTACCATGGAATCCTAAGCTCACTAAGCTGTGTTAATGATTTTGCAGATCTCCTTTGGAGAACATGACTTACTCATGCAATGTCAGTGGTATGTGGGTTACAAATGAATAGCATATTAATGTGGCATGGTAAAAAAGTGTGGAGTGTGAAGATCAGGATCTTTCACACAGTGACTGAGTATCCTGTAAAGCATTACCCTGTTTCTGCATTTAGACTCAATTTAGCGTCTTCTTCCGTTATAGGCTTTCCCTAGGTGAGGACACTATGGTCCTGATGTGCTTCTCAGGTTATGGGTCTAGTGCAGACCGCTT